GGGGGGGGGGGATTTTGTATCCCTGTGTTTTGAATCTTTATCGAAAGAAAATTATTAAATATACGTGCAATGTTTAAGAATGTTACTTTATTTTTAATCTTTAGAACCTCTTCGTGCTAATATAACAAAGTTGCTTTAATTTTTGTCCATATTCACAAACAAATGTGCCTGCCACTCGCGACCTGTACAGTGTTAACATTTAGCCCAACACTGTCTGCAGTTGTTGGCTTTCAATTAGATGAAGCAATCGATCGGACGAGCGAGCGAAATTTCGCCAGAAGTTCGCGGAAAGTTAGCATTCCGACTTGAGACGATTGTCTGACGGCGACACGAAGATACGATACTGGCCAGCGAGGAGAGACTAATAATCCGTGAAATCGTTGCAATGAACTCGACAACGTGTCATTGTATATGTGTATGTATATATCGTTGAAACGATCAACAACACGAGAGACAGCTAAAAATGCAGACGCGGCGGAAGGGTGACGAAAACATAGCGCGTAGTTTGGGGGTACCAGCGTAGTTTGGGGGTACCAGCGCATAGGTGGGGGTACTTTGATGATGAAGGGGCGGGGATGACTGGAACGAGCATGGGTGCGGAAACCGCGCGAGTTATTTTGCTAGAAGGGGTTTTAAACCGCTGTACATATGGATGCGGGCTTCGCTCTGCCAGGCCTCCGATTGGATTACGTAGCTATGCGCTAATTGATTAAAGCACGATGCTGCGCCTCGTCATCGCCATCGTCCTTGCAATTCCTCACAACGCCTAGCAACAATCTTTGTTCCCTTGCTTCCTCCCACCCTCGTGATTCTTCTGCTTTGCAAATTTCCCTTATTATCTGTTCCTCCTCTTCTCTTTTTCATTCGTAATAAACTTTCACGGCCGAGTTTTTCTTCCCTTCTTCTCGGGAACGGGTTCCGCAGTGAAACGAACGAGTTTGCAAATATTATCAGTGATTGTTTTCAGTCAATTGCCGCGGCCAATGAGAGAGGACGACGCGTTGTTTTGCTTCAAGGGGGGTCGGACGTTGGTTCCCGCTTGGGGAAGGGGGAGAGAAATTGACTGTAATCGATGGTAATTGACTTTTGAACAATCCTACCAACGAATCCTATCGACGACTTGTCGTTTAGCTCATTCGCGCGTGTAAGGATGTACATTCGGTTTCTTCGTTCCCAAAGCTTTCCCAAACATTCGCAGAAGCTCGGAAAGAATCTCGACTCGGGCCTCAGACGATCGGTAATAACAAGTAACAAATAACTCGCGATTCGGGGAGGGGGGCAAGACGCGTGTCGCATGGAAGTGGAAATCCGTAATCCGTTGGAGCGGACAGACGCCGAAAGACGACGGAGAGACGGGGGGTGATTGAGGCGGCGCGGTGAAAGAGGGAGAAACTAAACAGCCGGATCGGAGGGACGGAAGGGTAACTAACGACCCCTTACAAGGCTGCGTAGTTCACCACTTTGCTAAATTATATAAATCACGTCCCCTTCGTCAAGGGGCTCTTGCGCGAGACGCTTAATCCACCCCCGTGGAAACGACGCCAGCCTTCTCCGCCTCTGTTACCAGCCACGCATCTCTCCAGCTCTTCGAGAGCGTCTCCCGTCGGCGACACCTTCGCCGGAGTTCCGCTCGGTAGTTACTTTGCATTAAGCAGCCATTAATTAGATCGCACGCCCGTTAATTATCCCGAACGGAGTTCCACCGGTTCCACTCCGGCTCTCTTTAACTTCGCGGCGGTTGCGGGTCTCTTCAGCCTCTCGAAGCCAGTTTTTAAGAAATTAGCCAAAGTTGACAGGCCGTGGTAAGATAATTAAGTCCAGGGTTGCACCTTTCTTCGTTACGACTCGCTCGATTAAGTCGTCGATTAACCTTCTCGCTACCTGCTCGTCCCTCCGCCGCCAAAACGATGCAAGAAAGTATTGAGACTCGACGAGAAATTTCACTATCGGCTGATTGACACCAACCTCTCCCTCCCCCCCCCCCCGAGTTGCGTAAATAATTCCCGTTCTTTACGTAAACTTGAATTCACGCAAGAAAATTGGTCGAATGTAACTTCGTAAGGAACTGCGATATTTATTATTATTATATGTACATGTATATTATTTACACAGTGTTATTTTATAAATGAAACAAACCCATGCAACAGTATTTAGTCGGACATAAATTATAAAGGTATGAAAAGAATATAAAGACAAATTCGAATGACACTTCTGCTGTCGATGCCGAGTCTAGTTGTATAGTTGTATAATATTATGTTGCATTGCTGCTGGTAGTTGTAATTTTCGAGATTTATTACGTAACTGCGAATCTACGTGAGTAAGCAGCCTGTTACGTAAGCCGAGGGATTAGATATAGTCTTCGATAGAAGCCACTGAGCGTTATATGGGTGAATATAGTCACCATGATACTGCACAATGAGCGTTCGACGTTTTCTGACTGACTATAATGACCGGTAGTAGCGAAAAGGATAATCCTTTGGCTGTTTTTAAAATTTGCTCTTGAGGTATTGTTGTTGGCACCTTTAACTTACTTCGCTCGGCTGGAACGAGAGGCGCCTATGCATAGGCGCTCACTTCACGTTGCTCGAATCAAACTAAAAAGGCGCCTATAAAGGCCTGGCAAATGTTATTGAGAATAATTGCAGCAAACTTCACTTGGATCAGACGTAAGTGAATTCTAATTAACAG